GGACTGTCCACGAACACGTATTCGGCGTCCGTAGCTTCAGCAGCCTTAGCTTCAGTGGTCATCGATTTCTTGATGGATTGCTTGGCATGGGCCGTGTTCATGCTGATGACGCGGAGGACAGAGCGCCGGGGCTTTTGCGTACCCAGACTAGATTGAGAGTCAGGTTGGGCGAGACGGTCGACGAGGACAAGCGGTTTGAGGGCTGTGGTACATGTGCTCGGATTCTGGGTTCGAGGCTTGTGTTTGCTGCTTGCGTTAGCTCTTGAAGCACCTCGTGATGAAGCGGCTGAGGAAGGCTTCATGGGTAGGAATGCTGAGCGGCGTTAAATATCTTCATTGGGGTCAGAAGCGAAGTGTATACTTGCTGGATAGCGGGTAGAGATGGAAAGAGAGTGAGCCTCGTGAATGATGTCCCATCACATAAGCAAATTCTCATATCTACGTTTCCTTGGTTGAATTGTTTTCAGGGTTATACTAGTTGTATCATAGGGTTAGCGCCGGTAAAGACGAAGGGTGGTATTACATGGCTACGCGAATAAGTAAACGGACTCTGGCTTAAAGCAGATTCCAATGGCAGTGAGCAAAGTTCGAAGTCGAATCCGAGGGACAGTGGGGTGCGCTCGATCGAGGCGCGTCGATAATGGATAATGATAAGTCGAATGACCACGACAGTGAGCGTGTTGTTTATTGTGTGTACAGAGCGCGCGGCACTTCGGAGCTGCGAACGCAATGCGAGTGTGGAATGTGCCATGGATGTATGCAGTCTAGACGCTGTGCGCCGAACCAATAGACAGAGGCCGCGGACGACCTCGCTTCGAGTCTGTGTCCTCCATGGTGCGGAGCTCAACTTTAACACTGGAATCGTCACCAGAGTAGTACACGGCGTCGACATCATCGCCGTCCTCCGAGTCAGAGCCATCTTCCTCCCCCTCTTCGTCAATTCGACTGGCCCGCATCCTCAGCCAGTTCTGGAACCACCTCCCCAGGAACACCTTGATGTCAGAAGGCAAGCCGAGATACTCGGCGTTGCGTGCGAGGCCCTCCCACTCGACCGAGCCGGTCTTCAGCGCCTCGGCGATAGGGACAGTGTTCCCGAAGTACATCCAGTGCACGATGAGGTGGATGCTAGTCGGATCGGGCACGGGGAGGAGCAGGATCGGATGGTCGGGCGAGCATGGCATGAGGCGGGGCCGGCGGTTTTCAGGCACGGAGAACTTGCCGCGCGCGTTGGGGCGTGATGCCGCTGGTGATTCGGACAGACAGGATGAGGCGATGAGGTCGAGGGACGAGGAACCACTGAACAAGCCTCGCAGGAAAGTCGAATGGGCACAGAGAAAGTCGACATGCAGCTGTGTAGCGCATTTGTTACTACCGACACTTGCAGGAGGTAACTATCGAACTGACCTTCAGAGATATGCGGGGAACAGCGTTCAGTGCCGGCTCCGTTGCCCGTCGCCCGAGCGTCGGGTCACTGGACATAGAGAAGATCGGCAGATCAGGGGAGCCCATCCTCCCAGGCGCATGGGGAACAGGAATAACTACATTCGAAGCTCAGTCTACACTGATAGACCGCGACGGCGAGGAGAGCATACCAATGGTGCAATCAGCGCTTTCAGTGTTATTCCAATACTGCGGCGCAAGGGCGCGCAGCTGCCGGGCGATGTATTCGGCAGGCACTCCAGCCAGCGAAGGCGGAGGGAAAGCCCGTGCAGTGAACAGCGACGCGGTCGAGATGGGGTGGGAAGCCTTCGAAGGGGGAGATGAAGACCGCGATGCACCAGACCTGTAGCGGGGCATTTCCGTGGAATTGAAGGTGGTGGGCTGAGAAGAAGAGGCCTGTTCCACGGTGCGCGAAGTCATTTAAAATTGCGCGTCTACGCGCTATTGTCTTTCGGCGGTGGGCGTCCGAGAAAGGAACAGAAGGACCGGGAGAATGGTGGGGACTAGGAACGAAGATGAGAGGAGGCGATGAGCTGATTGATCCTTATAGCAATGTGCTTTTTCCATCTCATCGCCTGTAATTGTCTTCCGGGAGGGAACATCGACGCTGCTCTTATTGTCTTTGTCCATCACAGCGGAGCGATCATTTGATGAGTCTCCATTTGGTCAGGGTAGTTCCTTTCTAGGCAGCCGGTTCTCTCTGCTTTGGGCTGATTATCAATTCCTACGGAAAGAGCGCACTTTCACAAGACACGAGGCACGTTTCATCCTTGAAACGGAAGATGTGGGTCCAGCAGCAGATACGCTCCTGTGAGATACAGATCCCGAAAGTTCTAGAAGCGTTGAAACGCCTTTGCTTGTTCCGATCCAACAATAAGAAGGGGGGCCACCAAGAATAAAACCACGGGGGCGGGATCCTCTTGACTATGTATGACCATGGAAACTGTATGAATCCAGAACCCAAGCTCAAGCCCGGCGTGGATGTCACCGTGGAAGGAGGCCCACGTCATGTGACTGCACCAGAATCACAATCTCTTTTCGCAAATGACTGTTTGTCTCAACTCATTGAAACACAACTCACGCAAATGGTCTCTGTGCGCTCTTCATCGCTCCGTAACTACGAGAGTCCAGGCGAAGACTTAGGCAGAGCTCGATCAACGTGGCAGTGCACACCTGAGCTTGCAGCTTACCACAACCGATGCAAGATGGCTTGCCCGAAACCACTCCCCTCCTCACGCGCAACAGGTGGCCTCGAGTATCACCTGTTACGCTGATCATCCCCGTGGCCGCAATATGCCGACTAGCCATCCGCCTTCCCTCCACGACTACCTTTCATGTTATTCAACAGCTACTATGCCGGCTGCACTATCTGGACGCAGATTCGACGCGAATTCCGGCTACCGGAAACATACCCGACGAGCTTTGCGCTATTCCGGACGTCCAACAGCAGTATGCCGCGGCGCTTACGGCGATGGCAATGAGTGACGGAATTGGGTGTGCGCTTCTTCGTCGCCGCGGGCGATTGGATTCATGCTGACAAGTGTGCTGCAGCTATCCTTGCCTACTCCGGGCTGGGCCTCGTTGCGTCCCGAATGGGCCGTAAACCCGCCATCCTGTTGGTCGTTGCCGTAGGCTTACTGGCGAATGTGCTCGTTATCACGTCGAAGCTTATCGGGAGCACGACGGCACAAGTGGGGCTACTCTGCATGTGGATGGCGTGCAACTCGCTGTCTCAGCCGTTGATCATTGTGTTTGCGACCAACATGTATCTTGTTGATCTGGTCGGCCATGAACAGAGAACTTCAGCGCTGAGTACCTTGTGGGGATGGTCTACCTTGGGTGTGTTGCGTGATTTAGCATTTTGCCATCCGTTTTGATGTTGAACACAGGTTCTGCTCTCTCATTTGTCGTTGGTGGCTCGATCACAGCCCAATTCAAGGACGAACTACCCGTCTATTATGTCACGGGGACGATTTGGATCGCACTATTCGCATATATCACCCTTTTCATCCCTGAGTCCTACCCCAAGCATAAACGAAACGCACTGAGACGCGAGCCAGGTGCTGTAGATTCATCGTCCTGGATTCAGCAGCACATTTTACCTATCTTCGAGCCGCTCTCCCTTCTCAAACCGGTTTGTGATCCTGAGACTGGACAGCGGGAATGGCGGCTGGCTATCTGTGCACTTCACGCATTCTGTGTGGATCTCGGCGGAGCCTATGGAGCTACTGCCCTGATTGTCTATCTCACCGGTGTGCAGAGATACACTCCCCAAGAGGTATGTCTCCAGCTAGCCTTGTCAGTGACCCTGTCACTTATGGACCTGATTAGACAGGCTACGCACTGACGACGCTTAATCTCGTTGGATTCACTGTCTTGACTGTGATCATACCTTCCCTGATTCCCCGACTTCGCAGGCTTTATGGGCCGAGAGATGATCATAGCCTGGCTCAAACAAGGGATTGTGTGGACATCCTCGTGGTCTTTCTCTCCTGGGTGATGGACGCTGCTGCATTCATCTTCCTGGCCTTGGCAGAGAGTAGAATAGCTCAAATGACAGGCGCGTATCCCCTCTTACTGACAGGCACCCAGTATCTGTGTGCTGACCTGCCCCGGACAGCTGTCACGCTGATTGGACTCAGCGCAGGTCGTCACCCCGTTTTCCGAAGCTTGGCTGTGTCGGGCGTCAATCCTTTGAAGCAAGGCAAGTACGTTCATGCTCCCGGAGATACTACAGTGACATCGTGGCAGGTCAGACACTGGCGGCCATAGAAATGGTCGCGAGTGTCGGGAAGTTTCTGTCCTCCATTCTGATGGGTGGGATCCTCTCAGCGTGCGTGACCTGTGACGATGCTTGACTAATGACCATTGTCGGGAGCCTAACATGTATGACAGGACAATATCTACTGTTCCGCAATTCGTCTTCTATGTTCAAGCGGTGTGTCTGTCCATGGCAAAAGTTCTCAACTTACCTCATCGACGATCAGGCTATTGTTGTGACAGCTGCATCATCGCTGTTCTTCGCGACCTAGGATGGGTATCATGAATAGATATCTCTGCACGGTGCTGAAAGTGATGGTGTTAAGATTGTTTTGTCGAAAATATAATGTCAATACATTCCAGAAATGGAAATTGAATGAATCAGTCTCAGGAAAACGAGCAAACTTAAAGCATATCAAGGGAAACAATAATCGCCGAAAAAGTGATTCGACCCAGGTTCGAACTGAGGACCGCCTGTGAACCATTTGCTCGCCAGTGGAACTCAAATGTTAGACAGAAGTGATAACCAACTACACCATCGAACCATGCAGATCGACCAGTATAGATAGAGTATAATTGGATTCACTTGTACGGATGATCCATCTGTTATGCACACGGTCAGGCGCTGATGATCCTGCCAGATCCTGTCAACAGAAATGACGACTTTGAACGACATCCCCACCAGAAGGAGATAACAGTCCAGCCGTTCCCTTGCATCTCTATTTAGCTGTACAACAGAAGATGATGGAATCACACTGCTAGTCTGGTCCAAGAATCTGGGTGCATTGAGATAGCTGCGGATTACCACACAGGTGCATCTCAGCTTGTCAGTCTCCAGTGAATGGGTTGGAGATCAGATATGCGCCGTCACATGTAGCTCGAATATCAGGTTCTTTGTCGTAATTCTGTCGGCATCCTCAAGTTCTAGTACTCGGCAACGCTGTCACTGTACAGTAACATTGGTCACAGCTACCATGCACGGCAGTGGCGTTGGGCACGGAAACCTTTAGTGACGGATTAGCCTAGCCGTTAACGCTTTCGTCCAATACCCTGCGACCGGGCTACTGGAGCCGAAGGACGCATATAAGTGCGTCAGCTGCGTGGCGATCGCGTAGCGAGATCCTGGCAAACTGCATGGGCCCCACGCCGAGCCCAGGAAATGTGCGCGGCACCGGCGCGTCAGGAACACTTTCCACGTTGCTTCACAGGGGTCCCCATGTCGGTAAGAGAGTTAGGCTCAGTCTTATGCTCAACAAGAACCGTACAAGGCGAGTCTCCCTGCCTATCGTCGTGAGGTAAGTATTATTTGTCTGGTTATCAATGACATGTTGCTGACAGGAAGCGGTGGTCCAAAGTTTCGTTGACGGGCGAGAATCGGCCGTGGGCTTGTATTCGTAATTTCATATTGCGCAGGAATATATCCTTGGATAGCGAAGATTTCGAGGTATGCCAATATAGCCGCTGGGCACGGATAGAGGGCATGCACTAGAGACACGGTGAGAGATGACCGTGGTGTAGACCAGTGTGAGAAAATGGTGGACGTTGGAATCGATCGCATAATCGGAGAAAGAGATGAGCTCTCTCCAGACCCTTGAGCTTCTGCAAGCGCAGTGCCGTTTGGAGCGACTTTGGAACGGCCAGAATATGTGAGCGAGTGAAACGGTTCGCGGAAAAATATACTGCAAATGGGTGGCTATGTATTGGCCCGATTTTGCCCACGCGTCATAATTTCACCAACTTGCTTCCTTCCTTCCATGTCGTCCCCCCAGCCGGGGAGCAGCGATAGCCACCCTTCCGACTCGACGTCACCCTCCGTCGAGGCGCATCCCAATGACCCTTTCAGCACGCTGAATGGTGCTGGGCGGACGGCTGCATTTTACGACCACGACGACCTCGAATATCCCATCCCAACACGGCCCGATACCTTCATCTCTGAGACCCCCAGCTATGACCAGGGCAGCACCTACGACCCATACGGTGCGCGCCTCTTCTTGCCGCTCTCGTTGGATATAGCTCATCGCTGTGTACAGCCCCACCCGATACCGACTCCGATGGCGATGTTTACGGCCAGCGCTTCGCCACCTCGGCAGAATCATTGAGCGCTCACCGCGCAACGCCCACCTTCAGTGAATACACCGGCGGGAGCTCTACTGATGCTTACCCCGCTTGGGCAACGGACCGTCACATTCCACTGTCGAAGGAGGAGATTGAGGACATTTTTTTGGATTTGACGCAGAAGTTTGGGTTTCAACGGGATTCGATGAGGAATATGGTGAGTCTTCCCCTCCATTCTCGTGTATTGCCCCAGCTGTGTCGTGCATCGTGCGCCGGGCGGGCGGATGTAAGGAGGGGGCGCAATGGCAGGGTGTCTGTGTCTGCCATAGTGCGCTCGACTGCAGCTCTGCTGCCTTTTGGGTCGTCCTATGAGCGCTTCCATCCAGCTGTGTGCTACGCTCCAGCTGCCTTGCGGCTGGGTTTCCTTAACTGCTATCAGTGCTGCGGCACCTTGCGATCCCAATTGGCTCGTTCATCTGCGGTGGCCTTCATCTCTTTTCGTAGTATGCTGACATATGCGTAGTTCGACTTTCTGATGCAGCAGCTCGACTCGAGAGCCTCACGCATGTCGCCCAACCAGGCATTACTAACGCTCCACGCGGATTACATCGGGGGCCAGCACGCCAATTATCGCAAATGGTACTTTGCCGCTCAGCTGGACCTGGACGATGCCGTCGGACAATCCCAGAATCCTGGCGTCACCCAGGTTGCTAGGCGAAAATCGCAGAACGGTAAAATGACCGGCTGGCGGACGGGACGGGAGAAGGCTTTGAGCACGGCTCTGGAGCGATGGCGGCAGGCTATGCATACCATGAGCCAGTATGATCGGCTAAGGCAGATTGCGCTGTATCTCATGGTGTGGGGCGAGAGTGCTCAGGTCCGTTTCTGCCCCGAGGCATTGTGTTTCATCTTCAAGTGCGCGGATGACTACTATCGCTCGCCGGAGTGCCAAAATCGGATGGACCCCATTCCGGAAGGCATGTACCTGCGTTCAGTGGTGCGGCCTCTATATCGGTTCATTCGGGACCAAGGATACGAAGTCGTGGACGGGAAGTTTGTCAGGCGGGAGAGGGACCATGATGCAATCATTGGATATGATGATGTGAACCAGCTATTCTGGTATCCTGAAGGCATTGCTAGGATAGTCCTGCAGGATAATGTGCGTCCGCTTTCTTTGCCACGCAAGACTTGTTGCTCACTTTGTCCAGACTCGGCTAGTGGATCTGCCTCCTGCTCAGCGTTTCATGCGCTTCGATCGGATTGATTGGAATCGTGCGTTCTTCAAGACATACTACGAGAAACGGTCTTTCGGGCATCTCCTCGTCAACTTCAACCGGATATGGGTCATCCACATCGCGTTGTATTTCTTCTACACGGCATACAACTCTCCGGCCATCTACACCGTCAACGGACATAGCGTCCCGGCTTTGACATGGAGCGCTGTTGCCCTCGGAGGGGCTGTTGCGACCCTGATCATGATCCTCGCTACCCTGGCTGAATTCTCGTATATCCCCACAACCTGGAACAACACTTCGCATCTGACAAGGAGGCTCCTGTTCCTGTTGGTCATCCTTGCGATCACCGCCGGGCCCACTTTCTACATTGCCATCGCAGCCAACAATGGGAGCGCGGGCACTGTTGCTTACATCATCGGCATCGTTCAGTTCGGCGTCTCGGTTGCTGCGACAGCCCTATTCGCGATTGTCCCTTCCGGCCGGATGTTTGGAGATCGTGTCGCAGGAAAGAACCGAAAATATCTCGCGAGCCAGACCTTCACGGCGTCGTATCCTAAACTTCCGGGGCCCAACCGGGCTGCAAGCATTTTGCTTTGGGCTCTGGTCTTTGGTTGCAAGGCAGTCGAGTCGTACTTCTATCTGACGCTCTCGTTCCGTGCTCCGGTCGCTGTCATGATCGGCATGAAGATCCAAGGGTGTCACGACAAGTTCTTCGGGAATGCACTCTGCCGAAATCACGTCGCGTTCACGCTTGCGATCATGTACGTCATGGAGCTCGTGCTGTTCTTCCTGGATACATTCCTCTGGTATGTCATCTGGAACACGGTGTTCAGTATCGGCCGCTCTTTCAAGCTGGGACTATCCATCTGGACGCCCTGGGGCGACATCTACCAACGATTGCCGAAGCGGATTTATGCCAAACTGTTGGCGTCGTCCGAACTGGAGAACAAGTATAAGCCCAAAGTTCTGGTGTCCCAAATCTGGAATGCAGTCATCATCTCGATGTACCGAGAGCATCTACTTTCCATCGATCACGTTCAGAAGCTGCTATACCACCAAGTGGATCTGGCCAACGGAAGGAGGACCTTGCGGGCCCCGCCCTTCTTTGTCGCTGACGGCAACAAGGACGACGGAAACTTCCTTCCCAAGGATAGCGAGGCGGAGCGACGAGTCTCGTTTTTTGCGCAAAGTTTGACGACGGAGATTCCCGCTTCTCTGCCTGTGGATGCGATGCCGACGTTCACCGTCCTCACACCGCATTACAGCGAAAAGGTACGTTTTTCTTGCGGCGTTCATATAGGTTACTGATCGCAGTATCTAGATCCTGCTGTCTTTGCGAGAGATCATTCGCGAGGAAGACAAGAACACGCGCGTGACGCTCTTGGAATATCTGAAGCAGCTGCACCCCGTCGAATGGGAAAACTTCGTTCGTGACACCAAGATACTTGCCGAGGAGTCTGCCATGTACAATGGTTCGCCGCCGTTCGACGAGAAGGCCACGTCCAAGGCAGATGACCTCCCATTCTACTTCATCGGTTTCAAGAGCGCTGCACCGGAGTTCACACTGCGCACGCGCATCTGGTCGTCTTTGCGGGCGCAGACTCTGTATCGAACGGTCTCCGGGATGATGAACTATTCGAAAGCGATCAAGCTCCTTTACCGTGTCGAGAATCCGGATGTGGTGCAGCACTACGGTAACAATCCGGACAAGCTCGAGCGTGAGCTGGAACGCATGTCACGGCGCAAGTTCAAGTTCTTGGTGTCGATGCAACGGTATTCCAAGTTCAATAAAGAAGAGCAGGAAAACGCCGAGTTCCTCTTGCGTGCCTACCCGGATCTGCAGATTGCCTATTTGGACGAAGAGCCCCCCAGGAGAGAAGGTGGAGAACCCCGAATCTTCTCTGCCCTCATCGACGGCCACAGCGATTTCATCGGCGATACGGGGCGGAGGAGGCCTAAATTCCGGGTCGAGCTTCCTGGTAACCCCATTCTCGGTGACGGCAAGTCGGACAACCAGAACCACGCGATCATCTTCTACCGTGGAGAGTACCTTCAGCTCATCGATGCCAACCAAGACAACTACCTCGAGGAGTGTCTCAAGATCCGGAACATCCTGGCTGAGTTCGAGGAGCTACAGACGAGCGAGACGAGCCCTTATTCTCGCTGGGATGCGAAAGAGTTCGGGCAGACTCCTGTTGCGATCGTCGGTGCGCGCGAGTACATCTTCTCGGAGAACATCGGTATCCTCGGCGATCTTGCTGCTGGCAAGGAACAGACGTTCGGTACGCTGTTTGCGCGGTCCATGGCGTGGATTGGCGGCAAGCTGCACTACGGACATCCTGATTTCCTGAACGCGATCTATATGACGACCCGCGGTGGTGTGTCGAAGGCGCAGAAGGGCCTGCACCTGAACGAGGATATCTACGCTGGCATGAACGCGTTTGGTCGGGGAGGGAGGATCAAGCACACTGAGTACTTCCAGTGTGGAAAGGGGCGTGATCTTGGGTTCGGGACTATCCTCAACTTCCAGACGAAGATCGGCACGGGTATGGGCGAGCAGATGCTCAGTCGCGAGTACTACTACCTTGGCACGCAACTCCCGATCGACCGATTCTTGACGTTCTACTACGGCCATCCGGGTTTCCACATCAACAACATGCTCGTCATTCTGTCTGTGCAGGTTTTCATTGTCACTTGTGAGTGCCTTGACGCTCTTGATGAGTATGTTTTCTGACGTGCATCCGCAGTGGTCTTTGTCGCGTCTCTGACGTCGAGTATCACGATCTGCAAGTACACGTCCTCAGGACAGTTCATCTCTGGTCAAGCTGGATGCTACAACCTGGTTAACGTCTCGTCCTGGATCCACCGGTGTATCATCAGTATCTTCTTGGTGTTCATGATTTCCTTCCTGCCACTGTTCCTGCAAGGTTAGTGGCCCTCGTCCCTGTACAAGCGATTTCTCACGCCTTGACAGAGCTGGTCGAACGCGGCACCTGGAAAGCTTTACTACGGCTTTCGAGACAGTTCGGGTCTCTCTCCCCTGTCTTCGAAGTGTTCTCGACTCAGATCTACACGCACTCGATCATCAGCAACTTGACGTTCGGTGGGGCACGGTACATCGCGACAGGCCGTGGGTTCGCTACGAGTCGGATCCATTTCAGCACGCTGTTCTCCCGTTTCGCCGGCCCAAGCATCTATCTGGGGATGCGCACGCTGATCATGTTGCTGTATATCACGCTGGCCGACTGGACGCCGTTCCTGATCTACTTCTGGGCATCGATCCTCTCGCTGTGCATCGCGCCGTTCCTGTTCAACCCGCACCAGTTCGTGTTCTCTGAATGGGTCGTCGACTACCGCGAGTTCTTGCGCTGGATGATGCGCGGTAACTCGCGTGCTCATA